TCAGGCCGAAGAAGAGAGCCAGGCGTCCCAACCTAACCCCAACGACTCAGCCTCCAGCAGCATTAACTACATTCTCTCTCCCTCCTGTAAGTAAAAACAGTGCCTGCAGCGCCCGTGCCTCAACTTCTGTACTGTGTGCTGCACCTAGTAGTCTGTTTGCTACACTCGAGACTGTAAGCTACAGTCAACCAGCCATAGTGAACAACCCGGCAACGTACGCATCGGTTGCCGCCAAGCAAACACCGGAAAGAGCACCGGTAACCTTTGTGCCCGAACTAGAGAAAACAAAACTGCCGCAGCACGGATGGCACACTCCAGTGCCGTTCACAAATTCAATAAAAACACCGGATACTAAACCTCCAAATCCAAAACCCGTAGCCAGCAGGCGCAACCATGGTGCCCTAAACATTGTACGCACAAATTTCCCCGAATCCAAATCCAATACAATTAAGGGTAAGTTGACGGACGATCGAAATCAGTGGGGTTCCATCTGTACGTCGATCAGTGTCCATGCTAATCCCACGACATTAAAATGAATCTCGCGCCAACCAAACGCGTTGCACTATGGCGAACTCCGGTTACTTCGGGTAGCACTAAACTCGACGGACGAGGCTGAGGCCGTTCTGTCGTCTGCGAATCGTCTCCGCAACGACTCAAGTGGAGTGCGCATACTGCCCGAAATCCCTTGGAAAGAACGTTTAGGGGATCCCGCTAACAAAGTAAGGTACAAAAAAGTCAAGATAAGAAAACAGTGATTGCTCACGGTGTTCCTGAGCTTACTGCTTCCTTTTACGACGATGCTCAGATGCACGACCGCGAGCAATGGCACTACATCTGGGCGGCTCTTTCTCTCGAAAATGTCGTGGTCACCCCGTTGATAAGGATCGCCATATCACCAAACTGTAAGCGGTGCGGTCCCAGGCTGTTAAAACTTGTGTTACGGTCAGAACTAATGGCACAAAGCCTTCTAGAGAACTGGACTAAATTTCGTTGCAGATTGCCAACAGAAATTCGTCTGAAAGCAGCGGGAACACCAGCACCTTCTAATGACAATTCAGTAGAGGCACAACTCTTAATGAAAACGCCAACTGCATGACCCGATTCGGGGACGGTTTCAAGAGTAGCCATACTATCCGGTGGGGCACAGCAGAGCACGAGCAAACACCGGGATTCGGGGCATCTGATACTTGCGTATATATCAAATACCTCTCGAGAGTACGCAACCCATCCAAAAAACGATTAGTCGCCGACCCTTTATTGGTCGGCGTAAACTCATTTGCTTCATCCATCCAATCTAACACACTCTTGGTCTCCGAGAATGTCTCATGCATGTACACAAATGCCCAAGATCTACTCAGCACATTAGCTGAATTAAGATTTCGACAAGCGTCTGCAGCTTGGGACCTCATCGTTGTCACCGAAAAGTGGTTGCGCTGCAAGCTAACGGATGCTGAAATTGCACTAACGGGCATGTCCGTTGTCCGGAAGGATCGAACCAGCAAAGGTGGTGGGGTAGCCCTTTACTTTCGTAACAACATGCAATGCGAGCCCATAAACGATTCGGAAACCGAGGTACCTGACGCCATTTGGTGCAATTTCCGGCTGAGAGGGAACGAGCTTGGTCTGTTGGTTGTTGTTTACCGCCCATAATCGTCTACTCCTGAGATGGACTGCAATTTGATGGCTGCGTTGAGACAAGTGATAAACAGAAGTACAGTCACATTTTAGTCACCGGTGACTTCAACCTACATGCCGTCGCATCCCAGGCCACACCAGGAGAGTACTTCAAAGCAGATTTGCAAGATCTGGTTTCAGACTTCCCGCTTCATGCCCACGTCACTACGCCCACCAGATTCAGGGGAACTGACAGGCCATCCACGTTGGACCGAATATTCACCAATGAAGAAGTTATGGTCGAGAGAGTAATAACCGATACTTCGCTGGGCCGCAGTGATCATGCGACGCTAGTGCTTAATTACATGCGCTACGCGGATTATCCTAAAGAGCACGCCGAGGAATATCATGTCGTAACCAACTATGACGACATGTCCGACCTCATTGATGCAACCAGCTGGTCGTTCTTAGCTGAATTAACCCCTGAGGTGGCCTGCGGAGAATTCGTCAACATATTTCCCAAGCTCGTGGCAAGGACATCTGAAACCAAACTCTACCGGCCTAAAAGGATGAAGTCTCGTAAGGAGCAGGACACGTAAATGCATGGCATTAAGGGACTTGGCATGGCACACCTATATAGCCTCCCCGAACGACGATACCTGGGATATCTACACAATACAAAGGAACCACTGTGTCAAACTCGTCTGGGAGGATAAACTTAAGAACCAACAAGGTTTGGTGGAAAAGTTTTGCTCCAATCCCAAACTGCTATACAGACACGTAAACAATTTGCGTCGTGTTAAGCGCGGTATTCCTGCTCTGCACACAGCATGCGGCTTAGCCCAAATCGCACAGGAGGCAGCCTACGTTCTTTGGACAACAATTTGGCCGTACCTTCCAAAGCGGGCAATCATCATACATTCTGCCTAAGCAAATAACGCCGCCATCAGGGCTTAATCACATTTCGTTCACCTCCGCAGCTGCGCTGAAGAGGCTGATGTCTCTGCGCGAGTTCAGCTCTTGGGTGCGGACGGCATTCGCCTGAACGCGTTGAAAGTTGCTGCCATGAGTTTGTCAGGACCACTAGCAATTTTCTTTTAACGATGTCTGAACGAGATGTACGTCCCCACGATGTGTAAGCACGGAATCATCACGCCTATCTATAAAAGTGGTAGCCGTGCTGAACCAACAAATTATCGACCGATAACACTACTTCCTGTGACCTCCAAGGTTATGGAGTCCATCGTAGCTAAGCCTTTGATGGGGTACCAGGAGATCAACAAAATTCTCGTTCCGGAACAGCATGGATTTCGCCAAAATCGCTCCTGTACATGTAATATCTTGATTGCTCGTGCAAACTGGACGGACTCTGTGGACGCCAATGTAGAAGTTGACGCGGCCTACTTGGATTTCTCAAAGGCATTCGACCGTATAGACCATCGCATTCACCTCCACAAAGTCCAGAAATATGGAATCGGCGATCCTGTTCTGGGCTGGATAGGAGACTTTCTCGTGCAACGTCACCTGAATGTGTGGGTTAGAAGCAACTTGTAGGAGTCCATCGAAGTTCAGTGCGGCGTACCTCAAGGCTCAGTACTTGGACCCCGCCTATTCCTGATCTTCATCAATAATCTCACGAGCGTGCTATCTTCTAACTGTTTGCTATTTGCTGATGACCTAAAGGTATGGCGCACTATAGCTGCAGTGGAGGATCACACAGTCTCACAGAAGGACCTGGACAAAGCGTACACATGGTCCATCGAGAACATGCTGCATCTCAACGTCACCAAGTGGAAAGTTCTCAGTATAAGGCACAAGGGTATTCACAAGTACCGCCTAGGACCGCAAATTCTACAGCGGGCTTCTCACGAGTGCGATCTCGGCATGATAGTTCAAGATGACCTCGGTTGTTTGAGGCAGACTGAAAAGGCATCTAAGAAAGCAAACCAGTACCTCGGCCTTCTTCGCAGAGCTTTCGGGAAGTTTGACCATTCAGTTTTTCCAAAAATGCTTGGTGCCTACGTGAGGCCGCACGCAGAATACGCTATCCACGCGTGGCAACCCTGGCTCAAGCACTATCTCATCGCGCTCGATACTGCACAATGTAGAGCAACGAAGAGCGTCAGTGGTTTGACCAGCCTCCCCTACCCACTCAGGCTGAAGACCCTCAAAATATACAGTGGACGTTACGGGCGTCTAAGGGGCGATCTCATAATTTTGCACCAGATCCTGAGAAACCCCAACCACCCATGCCATTCCCTTCTAATACTCAGTCAAAACACCTCGCTAAGAGGTCACCAGTTTAAGCTGGTCACGCAGTACAGCCGCCTGGAATGTCGGCGAAACTATTTCTCCCTTCGAGTGGCATAGCCTTGGAACGCCCTCCCGGAACATGTAATTAATGCACCCACCCGATCCCTTTTCAAAAACGCCTTGACGATACTCTGTCACATTTACACTACGTGCTATAGCCCATGACTACCAGATGCTGGCACTAATGCACAACAGACAGTGGATAGTGCCATAACCCTACTGGAGAATGAGTCACTCCAAACGCCTTGCACGAAATTTGATAAACGCTACTACTATAGAAACTGGATTTCTGTATCCTGTCGACCCAAGATAGTTGCACACGAGTAAGCGTTGTCCTTGCTAGCTTTTTTTCTCGCCTATTATGCGATCAATATCCATTTGCATTATTGCTTTGTGTGCGTTCATTCTCCTTTCAAACTTCCTTTATACTACAGTGCAGATACATCTGTAAGCGCCCGAACTGACGACTCCATTATGCCTTCGCTATCTTTTTTGTCACGCTAAACACCCTACGGGACATGTCAAGCACCTGCTTTGTTACCGGGTATAAATCATTGTTCATTTTTCATTGTTCTCGTTGTGATGTGCTTTTTACTAGTAAGCCACTTCTGTGTTCTACAACCGCTTGTTATCTAAGCTAGGCTCTCGGAATCAGGCGCAGCTCAACTTGATTAATTGTCAATCTCCACAGCTTCGTATAACTTCTTTTTACCGTTCTTGGTGAGCCACAATGGGTTTGCGTATGCTTCAGCATTGACTGTGGTTTCTGTTAACTGTAGCAAATTCACCACACAGTCCCCTTGCATTTCGAGGTCGTCCACTAGGTACAGGTCCGGTGTGCTCACAGTGAGTGCACGCCCGTCATTACGGTAAGACAACGGTTAACTCTTATGTCGATTGGTCCCTTTAGTCTCTGTAGGTCCAATCAATTCTGAACAGCACCGCAGCCCTGATAACAGTTACTCGAATTACTTTCTGTTTAGACTTGTTTACCTGGGGCAGCTGTGTTGTTTAAGCAATGCAGCAAAATCACATAACAGAAATTTAGTGGGTCACGGATCCTCCCCAGAATTAGAGACAGAAAATTTCTTTTATAAAAAGCGTTAGGTACATGATAACAAAAATAGCAGACCCTACAAGTGTTTTACGGTTCGATGCACTGTACACATCCAAAATGGCCGGATTGCTATATGGATTTCGTCCGTCATCCCAAGACATGGGGCAAACGTCAAACTGCAGCTCATCTTCCGTTAGCTCCAAAAGCAGTGAGGCTCCTTCTTCTGGCATTGACGATTCAGCAGTCTGTATCTTTGAGCAGCGGTTTCCTTGACCCCGCGACATGAGATAATTGCGAAAGGCCACTCGCTTATAGACCCAGCATCGGAAGTTATTCATTACCTGTCATGAAATAAGATGGATGTGTGCACTAACTTTAGTTTTATACTCGGTGATGACGACTGGAATTTGGAACTCCCTATATTTTGTTTGGTAATGCCACCGCGTACAAACCCGAGTTAAATTGTCTTATCCAATCATTGAACAATGATTTATCACGGGTAAAATAGCAGAGTTTTGACAAGTCCTGTAGGATGGTTGGAGTGCAATTTAGCATAAAAAGAATCAAAAGATAAGTGAATCATCAATTTAGGCGTTTACCAATTCCACTGTACTGCTGCATAACGGTAGTTTGAGATGGGAATTGAATGTGCACAAACAAACTAATATGGGAAGCAGTGATAGTTCACGTAATCCGTAGGAAAAAATAGAGTGTAAGTGACAGTACGCACACGTGTGCTGCTTCAGAGAACCGTTGTGATACCTAAATTCAGTTTGGGTATATCCAACCTATTCACATGAACACTGATGCAGGTTTCATAAACGCTACGTTGCGGATGGGGCTGTTGACCATATAATTTAATTAGCGTTGCTTCCTCCTCCGAGTGAAACGGACCATATCAGGTTATGGGACGGACAGTGTATCGGTAAAACTTTTTTCTCAAAGCATTACTGTAGGGGCAAAGAGGAACTGGATCAAAAATTTTTTCCGCATTCGGGCCATGCGAAGGGACAATTCATTTTGTCACCCATCAAGTCGGATGCGGTGCGTGACAAATTTGCGCTGGTGGCCTCAGTTTGGCATTTTATCTCTGTTGCAACAAGTCATGAAAGGCGCGATTTGTGTTCTTTAGTCTTAAGTAAAGTATGATGAGGTCTGATCGTTGATGCCGGTATTCACTATTGTACAATCTCAAGGCTTGCCGCCTGCGTTGGTAGTGGGGAGGTGAAACAACTCTCTAAAGAGTTTGGCCGCTCTACTTTGAGGAGCTTCAAGTGCATCAACGTCACGCTTGCGTCAGGCTTGGATCACGTATTCCAAGTGGGGCCTCATATCAGTGCTCAGCATTTGCGGAAAGATTGATGGCTCGAACATTCTGAAAGCCTACCGACAGAGCACAAGGTGCTGAATGGCTCTTCTTGATGCCTTTTTAATCTGTTTCGGGCACTCAAATTCATCCTGCACGATCAGTCCGAGGTATTTTTCCTGAGAAACACTTTGCACTTACTAGTCCCTAAGTGTATATTCATAGGTAAGCTGATGGCTTATGCACACGGCTTTGCATTTCGTCACGTTGAAATGGAGCCGTTTTACCGATGACCACGTATAGGCCCTGTGGAGATCGTGTCGCAGTGCCGTGTGATTGTCTTCTGTTTGAATGCCAAGACAGATGTTGTCATCGCCTGCAATTAGTCAGAAGTTGGACTGGAGTACAATAGCAAGATCGTTCATAGATACTAATAGTAAACTTGGTCTAAATACACATCCTTGGGGCATACAACAATGGACTACATTTGGGTCGGAAGGGAAGCTGCGTACCCTCACATGCTGCTCTCATTGAATGAGGAAGTTGCTTATCCAACCCAGCACAGGGTCCAATTTAATAGCTTCGAAGCGTGTGAAGAAGAATGCAGTGGTCCAGGCGATCGAAGGATTAAGATAACTCAAATAGACGATTTCGTCAACTCAACGAGCCGTCGCAAAAAACGTGTCCTCCTGCGTTATTCGCCTTTAAATCTGTGTATTTATTCTCACAGAGATCTACGTGCCATCATTCGATTTGGCTCCGCGAGATCCTTCTACCACTGTGCATCTATTGGATCTATCATTCACGGATCACCAGCAAACTGTGCTCTTGCAACTTCTAGGTCAACCGTATTTGAACCTTATCTGAGGATTTATTTTCCCTGTCGTCGCACAAGAACTCTGATGGTCTTATTTTTAAGATCTTTTTGAGAGTCACCCGATCAGCTTACTACCATTTCTTCAAGTCACTGTACAAAGCGACAGTCGTCAATTTGATCGCCTTTGGAATAGCCACTGTCGTCAATAGACAGTATTTTCCAAGACACCTTTCTTTGCCTCAATCCTACGTCGCATCGTTGCCTACCCACTACCGGCTGGATCGATAGCACGCACGTCGCCTATCTACCCTAAGGAACGTGTGACTCATCTGGACACAACACCTCTGATCCCCCTGACCTCAAACCAGCGCCGATCGCCACGCAACGAAAATTGAAGCGAATTCATACACGGTGCGTCAGTATCTCTATCCTCTTGCTACCTCTGTTGTAGTGTACACATCCAGTTACTCCATTCCATCTTGTTAGTGGTGAATCTTTACACCATATCACCACCATCTGCGGTCATTTCTAATTCGCTGCCCCATTACTGACTGTGACCACATATATCAGTAGAATTATTCCATTCTAAGCTAGTGGTAAGTGATAAATCTACAACATAGATTCTGAACTCTCCTTTTCTATCTAATCCCTTTTGGAATTGGTGCAAGTCGCAATAACAAAGTACACGCCTCAAGTGGATATGGCCCATTCGAAAATCAATTGGGACCTATGTGGAAAACTGTTAAGTCTGGTCCAGTGTGCATTAACTGTCAAAAAGCGTACTATTCGAAGTTTTTAGGGATGAGGGCACTCGAAACTAGACAATCCAGTAGCAAAACCGAAGCATTTTGGTTCTGCCAGGTGTGCGAATACATCCCTGTTGTTAAATGCGTAATTTTCCTAATGAAAAAGTGTGAAAAGTTGGTGGAAATAGTTGAGCAACTGGTGAACGATAGCAACGCATCTGCGAAAATAAACAATGCTACGCTTGCATCTGAACCGACACCTACAAACTCCCGTTTAGGCCGAAGAAGAGGGCCAAGCGTCCCAACCTCACCATCGCGTCTCAGTCTCCAACGGTCCCTAGCTACATGGCTCCACTAAGTGAAAAAGTCGTTTATAACCCACTTGCTTCTACGTCCTCCAAGGGTGTAATAACTAAAAATTCAGTTGACATACCCGAAACACAAAACTCCAGAAAGCCCACGGTAAAAAATAACTGGACATCTTACGCAGCGGTTGCTTCTAGGAAAACACCGTCAAAGACACCTGTGACTCCACTTACCGGAGAGGTCAAAACTGTGCCTCAAAATGGATCGCTATCGCCAGTGCGGTTCAAAAATCTACAAAAAACAAGAGAACCTAGTGCTCTTAAGTCGCGAAGCACAAGGCGGAATCATGGTGCCTTAAGTCTTGTGTGCACAAACGTTCCTGATTCCAAATCCAAGACAATAAGGGGCACATTGATAGACGATCGTAGTCAGTGGGATTCCATCTGTAGCGCCATCAACATGCACGCTGAACCCACTACGCTGAGACGCATCGCAAGACACCCAAACACCTTACACTATGGTGTGCCTCGACTACATCGAGTAACATTACATTCCGCGGAAGAAACGGAACCCATTCTGCTCGCTGCAAATCGATACCACAGAGCATCGAACGGAGTATGTATCTTACCGGATATTCCGTGGAAAGAACATCCAAAAAATATAAGCAATCAACAGAGAAGTAGAAAACACGAGCTGAAAGCCGTCATTACTCATGGCGTCCCTGAGTCTCAAGCTTCATCTCCTGAAGTTCAGGCACATGAGCTGGAGCAATGGCGATACATTCGGGAGGCTCTGACTTTAGAAAATGTCATTGCTACCTCCCTGACCAAGATTCCCTTGTCACCAAATTACAAAGGGTGTGGTCCTAGGTTGCTGAACTTGGTCTTACCGTCTAAGCTAACTTTACAGACAGTTCTAAAGAACTGAGATAACTTCCGGAACATGCTGCCAAAAGAAACTCGACTAAAAGCAGTAGCTTTACGATCAGATGCTACTGGCTACTCCATGAAGAGAACCAAGTCACTGGGAACAACCGTTATTGCAGAGTCCACCACAACACTGATCTGACAGCCGTCATAGCATCCAAAGAGACACTGCAGGAGGTGAGTGATCATCAGGACCATCATGAACCTGATCACATGGTGCAGAGAGTTATTCCAAGCCATTCTCGCGAGCCTAAGACAATTCCAAAAAACTAGTAGCAGCCGACCTCAGGAGGGTCGGCCGAGTCTCAAACCTGTTGTCTACATCCACAAACAACCTTCTAACCTATGAATCACTCTCCTGTTTTTACAACAACGCACAAGGTCTTTTATGTAAACTGACGGAGCTTCGCCAGCGTCAGACCTCGATGTCAAGGAACCTCGTTATGATAACCGAGACCTGGTTGAATAAAGCGATCGCTGACGCAGAAATCGCACTACCTGGGATGTCTATTCTATGCAAGGATCGACCAAGTAGAGGAGGTGGAGTACCGCTTTATTATCGCAGCGAACTACATCTTGATCTAATCGATGACCAAGAGGTTCAGATTTGCGATGCGCTTTGATGCCGTCTTCACCTATGCGGTGAGGACGCATGTTTGTTTGGTGTGGTGTATCACCCTCTGCCGGGTAGTTTGGAAATGGACAACTGCCTAGCCTCCACAATGAAGACCATTCTCTCGTAGTCGTACAGCCACATTCTACTGGTTGGTGACTTCAATATTCATACCATAGAAACTGCAGCATGTATCAACGAACACTTCAAAATGGAAGTACAGGAGGTAATTAGTGGACTACCACGCTACAATCACATCACGTCTCCAACGAGATTCAGGACGGGAAACAAACCAAGGGTCCTGGATCTTGTATTCATCACTGAAGAGCTTATGATGGAAACGGTATCGATAGAGAGCCCTTTAGGCCGTAGCGACCATGCAACCCTCATGTTCAAGCACATCTGTTATGCAGAGTATTCCTCAGAAAACACCGAGGAGTGTCAGCTCATTACGGATTATGGCGCGCTAAGCAAACTTATAAATGCTACGAACTGAGCATTTCTAGCGGAACGATCCCCGATGTCGCCTGGTCTGAATTTGCTCTCCAGTTCAACTCGTTAGCAACTAGTGCTTCTAGGAAAAGACCTAATCGAGCGAAGACCGTAAAATCATCCACACGCAGCAGAACACGCAAATGTAGCGTTACGAGGAATTTACTCTGGCGAAGATACAAGGAGTCATCGAGTACCGAAAAATGGGAAACCTACACTATCCAAAGGAATCACTGCGTAAACCTGGTACGCGAAGGTAAACTACAGCACCAACAGAATCTAGCTGGGAAATTCCTTTCTAACCCCAAGCTCCTTACAGACACATAAACAAGCTCCGCAAAGTGCAGCGAATGATTTCTGCCTTACATACGTTATGTGGACCCGCACAAACCCTAACCGAGGCGGCCAACGCCATATGTCAACAATTCGCCCCGAACTTCCAGAGCACGACATCGCTGCATGCACTGTTCCCGATCGTTGTACCACCACCAGAACTTAGCCACATTGTGTTTACCAGTGCGGATGTTACGAAAAAGCTAATTGCCCCGCGCGAGCATACCTCTCCCGGCGTTGATAATATTCGTCCAAAAGCTTTGAAATTGGCTGCAGTAAACCTGGCGGACCCTATCTGCAAGTCCTTCCAACGATGCCTCGATATGATGCGGGTGCCAGCAATGTGGAAGCAGGGCATGGTCACTCCCATCCATAAGGGAAGAAGTCGTACAGATCCTGCCAACTATCACCCGATAACACTACTTCCGGTTTTCTCCAAAATCATGGAAGCGAAGCGAGACGCTAATGAACATCTTGGAGGAACGTAATATCATAGCACAAGAACAACATGGATTTCGCTAGAACCGATCTTGCATTTCAAACTTTCTACTTGCTAGATCCAGTTGGAGTGAGCTCATTGACAGCGGCGTGGGTGTTGAAGCATTATATCTGGACTTCCCAGAGACTTCCGACCGTTTCACTACTTCAAAGCAACTATACTTTATGTATGTTTGATCATGTCTTCATCGGTGTGCCTCGTTCTATCGTGAACATACCATTTATTTATTTATCGGTCCTTCGGTATTGATGTATGTATTGCTTAGACTTAAACATATGTTGAAAACGCATCATTAGGAGCAGTCTCTTTTTGCGGGGCGCCTAACTGCATTGTCGCAGTTACACTCGGCTTGGCTGTTACGTACTGAAATTGTGTTTGAGGTTAGGCATCTAGTGCAGGACACTGACTAGTCTGGTTTCAGTAGGACAGCTGTTATGGCAGCTATTCGCTCTACAATCTGCGATAACCCCGTTATACATGTGACGAGTGGAATAGCCCTACACTTAGTGCAGAAGCTTTTGGTATCTGTCGTATTATTAAGTCAGTTTACATCGCTTAGGTTTATGTGAGCACACATGATATAGAAATTTCTATAACGGTTGGAGCATTCTATTCTGATTCGTACACTTTAAAAACAGTCTGTTGCATCACAACTAAGATTTAACCGCGATGTTTTCGGCTTAGCGTTCCGAGGGCCAGCCCTACGTCTTATGGTGGTCTCCATTCAAGTAATATCGTTTGCTGCTGTCTGACAGAGAAGCCTGTTCTCCAACGTTGTCGATCAAGCAGCTAGTGGGTCTGAGACACATGCTAGATTGCTGTTCTGAGGAGTGAGTGGGATGTAGACGTTGAGTCAGTTCAGTGCTCCGCTATCACTTTGAGGCAAGGTCACACGATTTCTGTCTGTGCTGCGAAATGTAAAGCGTTTGGCTGGCTTGTCGGCAGAATGCTTCCCTGACTCGACACCGTCGCACTGCACACGAGTCAAAGTTATTACCTTCATCGAGACGCCACACGTAAAATGACTGCCGGAGTGAGTTGTAATCCTGTTGACGGGCCAGGGTGCTGATAGCGGCAGGGCGACGTAGCTGACAACAAGGCACGGTATATCAATCGTCACCGGCCGAGAAAACTGCTCAGCCGGTGCGGTCAGATAGTTGACGCGAGGTTTGACAATGTAGATACAGAATCACAGTTAGTAGTAGTAAAAGTGCTTACAGTTACTGAACGGTATGTCAGAAGCGTATGGGAAAGTGTTTGCTAGAAAGCCACAGGATGGTAAAGGCATTTCCGAGTCGAAGGACTGGAAGTTGGTTGGTGCGTGATGAAATGTGGGGGAAAATGCACTACAAAGCGGAGCACGGATTGATGGAAAAGGTATTGCACAGTATTCGCTCAAGACAGATATCCTTCCAAATTTTTTTGCTGGTGGAATGAGCACACACAAGTGAATTGAATGGTATGTAATAGTCCGCGCTCCGTTGTGATTGCAGTTAGAAAGCACAAATTGTCAGCGCTATGGATTTGAGCCCGTTGCAGCGGTTACTAGAGAGAAGTAGGAGCTGCATAGGTTTTATTAGATTACTTGACCTGTTCAGTTTGTCAGCAACGCTCTCGCACTTGGTACCCTGTATATTAAAGGCTGCATGCGCCGGTGTAAGCTAATGCCTGTCAGCCAGACGGATGAGAACGCAACTGACGCATTAAACGTGTGCAGGAAACACTTCGTGCCTATTTAAATTACTAAAGTAGCCGTTTTATGTAACACAACACTTTACTGTTGCGGGTTCCCATTAGGTGGTAGTGTCATTACCGTTAGAGACGCATCGAGGTCGATTGCGCCCTTTGGGGTTACGTGTGAGGATAATCGGTTGATAACATGACTTATACCTACAAATGGATGTGTTAGAGTTTCAGTGCTTTTATAGTACAACGGGAAGATTTTATTACGCAACACTCAAACCTACTGGATCTTGCTTATCGTATGTGATGAGAATAGATTTTGTGTCTTCCATCCAGTATCCAACACAAGTCAAATAATTATCCACCACATTGTATTCGGAGATTGGCTGTCCAGCAAAGTCGAGCCGCCAACATTTCTCCACATCCAGTTGTAATGTTTTCGGGTCGTGCAGGCACGCCTCGAGGTTAGACTGCCAATAGTTATAACAAAGGACCTGAAATAAACAACATTCAACTGTCACCATTGATGCTCACCGTTAAAGATAAGTTCAAAACAATTGCTTATATTTGACAGCAACTGATTAGTCAGACAGAACTTTTTTCTTTAAACTTGTTTTCCACAGAATCGCTCAGTTGCCCTGCGAGGATGTAGCCGACAGGGCAGGAATATATTATAATCCTATATGAAGTACTTGTGTCTCGTGCGAGCATAATGCAGATAAGAGTGCACTGGACAACATGATTTAAGCAATAGACTTTCGCATTTGATTAGCAACCCTGTCTATATCCTCGCTATCTGATGCGGTTACACAAAGTCAACCAGATTTTGGTCGACTCACGAGTGCCAAAGTTAGTTTTCATTTTCGAAATAGAGCTGAAGTGCACGCGAGGTGGCTAGAACAAACAGTAGTGGACACAACAGTAATGTAAGTATTAGCTGATGCAAAATGAATGGAAATTTTCTACACCTGGCAATTAACCATACTGCGTAGACAAATGTCCCCCAACAGCTGCTTTAGGCGCCATGAAAAATAGCATATGCACATCGGCCTGTGTTACAGCATTCAATGTATCGGTGTTGCCAGCGTTAAGGAGTAGAATACACGTTACGTGGGGACGTGGGGCCGCCATCTTCATCGATATCCGGTTCCACCCTATTGCTCCGTTGTTTGATTTACTGAACTTGACAAAGCCGTTTAGACAGAATCTATGACATGGTAACACCAGGCATGTTAACAAAAGTTCCGGTACAATCCTGTTTCAAGGTCCACGTTGTGGGTCCATTTTTTCGGAACATTTCCACATGACTTTCACTGCAAATCCAGAGGCCGCTTCTTGGGTGTAAGGGACACGGGGTATACGACATTTTCCCGAAAGTAATCCCCATTTTCACTCCGCGCACCTGACAGTTTTCGGTCGGTACACTTTCGCGGAATGCATGGTCCCAGCGTACGTTATCGAAGAACATGTCTCGACTAGGAGAGAAACTCATTATAAGTATAGTGCTTAATGGTCCAAATAAATGCGATGTTTCCACATCTTTCCTATGATGCGTTCACTGTGAGCGGGATGACCGCTGGCTCCCTGGGGTTGGAGGCATTGAGTTACCGACATATCGATAACCCATAACTGCCTACTTTTTGTCTGTGACTGAAGTTCTGGTCACTTTCTCGCAATGAGATTTGTGTTACTGGGCATGTGGAACATCCGATCTAGTTACACCTAGGTTCTTGAGGCAACTCTTGTTGTTATTAAGACAAGAAAAAGGTCATTTTGTGGGACCTTGATAGTCGTCTGCTAAATCCTGTCTCATACGTGCTAAACGGCTGTCGCAGCAAGAAGCGGCAGCCTGCCTCCACTAAAATGTGTTCGATGATACTGTAGGAATCTCAAATTTAACCACGCACAATTGTCACAGTTTAGATGTTAGGAATAGATTAATGGTTCTCATCCATCAAACCAGGACAGCGGGGATAATAGCTCGCAGTTTATACGTTCGACCATATTTATGCGAAATTTAGGCGGCCGAGAATTTGGCACAGAGAGTTGAAAAATCGTTATGCCGATTATTCATGTTGGGACCGATCACTGCAAACAGAGCAGACGTCTGAACAGCAGCTTAAGCATCATTTAATGAATAACGCTGGTTCCAGATGCAGAAATCAATATACTTGAAAAGTCTGTCTACTTGATAGTCTCCGCACACTAGACCCAACAGAATAGCGTGAGTTGAACCAAAATGTAGCAACAACACTCTCTCGAGCTACATCTTGATCCAAACACACAGCATGAGTCACTGAAGAGGTTATTTTGGGACACTCTTTTATGAACGAATTGCGACTCGTAAAGTCGATGCAGGCCGCTGTCCGCTTTGAAGCCAACCCAGACCAATTTGACCACTAGGACCAGATTTGAAGCAAATAGAAATTGTGTTTGGTCCGTGCCTAACATTGCAATCCATCACAAGTTTCCAATTCCTTTGATTACATCAGGCAGAGATAGCAGGTACTGAAATTCGAACCACGGATCTTGTGGTTACCGACATAAGCATTTAACCGGAAACATACGAGCACACTTTTCCAAATGCTGGGCCGTGCCATAACATTGATGGTTTCAAACCAAAGGTAACTCCATAGCTTCTCCAAGTGGTCCGCAACCATGTCTGTCAATCGTTAAAAATACATGCCATCGGACAATTTGTGTCATTTCTTGCTCGGCCGTTTTCTGTACATCGCAGCGACCTTTGAGCTTTCAACACATCCACCGCACCTGTCTGCAAAACACGGTGTCGCAATGTGTCATGCTTCAGATGTGCCTACCTCAGAGCCCGTTAATTCAGCGTGCAAGCGAAGAAACAGACATGCGTAATATACTTCCACCACTGACCGAATACCTGAAGGCGCTAACGAAATAGGTCATAATAGATAAAAAGCGACTAAGCCAAACGTCACTCAGACAACAGACAGTTGTGTTTACTTCCACGCAAATGTCAGAACAAGGATTCCATCTTTTAATTGCATTATCCGATGCCCTTCTGTGTGCACTAAGTTATCTTCAAGCGAGGTAAAGCTGTAGAACAAGGCTCACAGGTTCTCTAGATGTAGCTAGTAGTTACGTTGCTCCTAATAGTTAACATTATTTTGAATTATCTCAGAAATCCGAATGACTGGTTAATGCCAAGATTGCGGAACCATAAGAAAGTATTACGGAGACTAGGTCCCAGACCTTGATAGGTTCCTCTTCAAGCCAGACGAGGAAGAATATGCATCCCGTCAAAAATACGTCACATTTATTTATAACCTCAATCAGCATGTCAATGCCCCTAGTTGCTTACATATGCTTGTCCTAACTACTTCCAGTCCGGTGGGAATAATAACGACTAGGCTTTCGTCCAACATAAAAACTGCCGCGGAACCTTGTAAGGATGTAGGCACGAGTGATGGTTGCACTGCGGTTGTAACCAAGATTACTAGATAATTTAGGGCTGCAGTCACTCCAACTAGAACAAAACAAAGAAACTGAATAAAGTTCAATGTGCACAGGAACTATGTTTGCAATCCGACCTTTGAGGCAGTCGAACATCATCAATGTTGCATCAAGGGTCATCGGGGATAAACACAGTGTATTTTCAGTAACATGCACGATGTTCCCCTGGATCGGCGTGCCATTCATTGAAAGGAAGATTGAACTATGATAGGATAGAGGATAGATTGAGCAAGGGGAACTTGTTTTATGTTTGAGCTAAGCCTGCACAACTGATGCGGGTCAAGTAACGTCCGAATTCAAAGCTTCTCCGTGAGCCATCACTTCTCTGATTTGTGCTGAACATTGCTGATAAAGCGAAAGCAGTTCTGCTATTGGCAACTGGTCTCTGGATTGGTTCATGTTCGATCGATATCCTTGATGATATTCGATGGGCCGAAGATAGATAGGCGAAGTCTGGCTTGGAAAATCCCTGATAATAATCAGTAGCTAGGATCACGTGCTTCAGCGACTAGAGGACATGATGAACAGGAACCAAAATGCACGACCAGTAGCGCTGTTTACGAATTTGTGAGATTCCTTCCTTTGGTAACTTCACAGAGCGACTTATCACAAGAACACCTAACTTACCAAGATAACCCAAGGATTGCGAAGATGGTGTTTTAATCCAGACAGACGTCAGCATGGAATTAGATGAGTGGTATGCATTTCGCAGCGAACTACCTTCTGAGCTCGATATAACGGCTTTGGCCTCTGAACAGAGGAAACGGGAAATTCGTTCAAAACGCGTGTTAGAATGTACTAAGATATTACTACACAGCCATCTAGCGAGACTGGTAGCCATAATCCATACATTGCACACAACTGTTTGATGGATGGGCCTCTTACAAAATCTATGGATCTGATACAAATCTTTTCATCAATTGCCCGCCCACGAAACGATTAGTGGTTGATTCCTCACTCATCGGTGCTGCAGCGCAATAAAAACGAACGTCTTCCCAATTCACTACTGAACGCATATGAAATTACTGCATGTACACCAATGCACAAGGCCTCCTAAACAAGCGCGTTGAAATTCGGCTTCGTCAATCATCAAACGCATGGAATCTGCTGTTCGCAACTGAAAAGTGTTTGCACTCAGCAATTACCGGCGAGCAAGTCGTAACACAGTGTATGTCCCTTGATCGAAACGATCGCTTTAGTAACAGTGGTGGGGTGCTTCCGTACTAGCGCAGTGCCCTGCTGTGCGAGCCAATGGATGACCCGGAGAAAACGGTCACAGATTTACTCTAATGGCGTCGGCGATTGATAATCAAACGACCATCAAACATCAACAGGAAGAAATCGAGAGAATGAATCTGGTGTAATTCCTAGCAGAAACGACAGATAGACTGAATGAAACAAGGCATCCTGCGGATGCAGACGCTACGTGCGGGGGTTTGTAAGACGTTGTTTGAGGGGATGGCCAGATAAAAAAACAGATTTCCGAAGGAATTAACGCCATTATTCAAGTTTTGGGGAAAAGTAATGGTTGTAACAACTTGCTGTTCAAAGGAAATTGCATTTTGCTTCCACTGTCGCTTCGCAAAGTGATGCTGGAACACGCTCATAGAACTCAATTGGGTATTAACTACGGTATTAGCAGAGCATGAGAACTGCTGTTCTGGCCTGCAAATGAAGAGCCAAATACGAGATAATCGTTAACTTTTTCAGGTTGCTGATCCTAAGAAGCTTGAAAAGAAGGGTATAAATGATGCTGTTTGAGATTCCAGATTGGCCATGCTGATGACATCTTCCTGGGTTGCATAACCTCACTCATCGAGGACTCTATGGAACTCAAACGGGGGTTGGACGCACTGATGACTTGGTCCAGCTCCCAGTACCTCTCTCAACCCATCTACGTGTTGTGGCGTAACGTCCTCTTTTCTACTTCCCAACAGAATGCGGTTCTTTGTTAATGTCTCGCCTGCTATGATTGCAGGTGAGCAAAGCATACATCGCGCATCTAACG